GAGCCACAGCACGACGACGTGCACTCCCGCAACACTCTCATTACAACCTATGAAAAAATCTCTGTGTCTCTCTCTCCCTCTCTCTCTCTGAATATATATAAATATATAAATATATTTCCTCTTTTTGTTTCTCTCCCATCTCTGTGTGAAGACACTGCACTGAATTTGGTTGTCAGCCTGAAAGAAGTGCCTCAAAAGAGGCAAACCCACCACTAAACCTCTGCTCTTTGACAACCGGACGGCGACGTATACAGAACAAAGACGTTTTCTGGGGCAAAGAATAGCGCTGCCTACGTGTGATTTGAAGCCATCACAAAGACTTTTTTTTAACCGCCTCGTCTCTCTTTAAACTTTTATTTGGCTATCAACCAGCTGTTTTCAGCTGTTCTATCTGTTCTTCGTGCTCTTTTCCCTGCAGCATTCCTCTAGTTCTCCTGAAATCCTTTGGAAGTCTTATTTATACTCACCCCTCTCCCCCTTCCCATCTCCCTCACAGTACAGCGGCTGATAGGATTTACCTGCAGCTGAGAAAGCCTCCAGACTATCAATTACCACCAGTGTGGAGTCACTGTTCTGTAGCTTGGCTAACAAGACAAGCACACACAGCACACACACCTGGTACATAGACATGTGTGCCAGCAGTCAGACAAACGATGAGGAATCCACTTGACTGAAATCTACACAACACTGTATAGATTCAAGAGACAGTCAGTTAAATAAAAAAATAAAAAACTCTGACCCAGTCATAAAGTAAAACTTGTTGTGTTCAGACACAGGTGCGTTAGCTATGATTATACACACAGGCGGGGCCCTGGTGGTTATTGCAACTGTGTAAACTTGTCACGCCATCAGGCAAGTGTGACTCACAGTTTCAGTTTGACAAACCAAAAATATGCAGATTGGAACTGCCACAGCGACGGCGGTTCCTTTTACACCTTTTCTGTTTTTGAGTATTAATTGCAGAGAATAGTCCTTTGTTCATGTCGACAGTTTCACGTTGCCGCTCTGTCAGTCACTCTCATTGGCTCTGTGGACAGGATGGTTTGCTAATGACAGATGTGGCCCCACCAACTCACTCCTGCCAGAGTCCGATGCCGGGATGCTCAGTAGAAGAGTTCCTTTATTTTGAATTAAATTTATCACGGCAAAACATCAATGCAAACTGTCAAGCAAACTACTGTAATATGAAGAAAAAACAACTCACGAGAAGTAAGTCCGTGGTTCTGAAAGTGTGGGGCGGTGACTCAGGGCTGGCAGGGTTGTCAATTCATCATTAATGTACTGTCAGACCAACAGACTAATGCTTCATTTCACATTCGACTTTCCAACAAGCCCTGTGATATAACATTTGTCCACAGTGTTACCATAACATAAACAGGTTTATTTACTGAATATTTACTTCTGACAAACCTCTTGAGCAAAGAGCCAGGAAACAGAGCTCCCTTTAAGGACACAGACTAATTTATCCTAATGAAAACTCTGAGGAGAACTACAGTTGGCAGTGCAGCTGAGTCTGGTCATGTAGTAATGCAGTGCAGCCTGTAGGGTAAGCCTGTGAGGGAAGATCTGAGGGAGTGGATTCCTTTCAAGTAAGCCATCATGTCCGGCCGTGACACGCAGTTCATTAGGATTACAGATTTGGGTCAAAAAGTGCAACACCTCCTGAGACACCAAGCACGGGAAATTATTGCCACGCTTTGATCAACCTGCACAAAAATGTATTCATGTGTTGAACTACAGCACCATTAAGTTTAAAGCGCAAAATGGCAAAGAGGGGGCTTTCCTATTGGCTCCAAATATAAACTGGTGATTCCTGGCGGGCCGTTCCTCCAGTCTGACTGTCATCAAGGCAGCCAGGTCTCCCATGTTTACTAATGTAGAAGCAACCCCTTTATCAGGAAAGAGATTTGTAGGGAAGAGGCAGGGGATTAGCCATCAAATTACCAGGCAGACAGCATCCCTTCTCCAAGGTTGTGAAGCAGTAATCTCTGCAGCTGAACGGAAAGATCCAGAAAAGGTTTGGGGTTGGTGCTGAGGTACTCCAAACTCTTCACAAGGGAAACATGAAAGTGTGTTTCATAGAAACTGTTTCTGCATTAATCTTTCCCTTGTGCTGTTTTTACGATAGCTATATTCAAATGTTCAAATCACATGTAATGTTGTGGAGTGATAAGGACCAGCTACACAGTCACCACACCGTACCAGAGCTGGGTAAAATAAAGCCCTCAATCAGGAATGCTGCAGCGAGGCAGGGCTGGCAGAATTGGATTTCACTGGCCTAGCCCATGCTTCTTATATTGTTACCCCACTGCCCTCCCTTAAACAAGCAGTGCTCTCCTCAGAGAATACCCCCTGGACATAGGAATGTTTCATCAATGCCTCAGCCCCCAGCATCCTCACAGGGCCACAGTGGACCAACAGGCGCAGCACAGGGAGGCTATAAATAAGTCAGGCATTAAAATAAAACAAAATGAATCTCCATCCATCTTCCTTAAACAAGCCAGGGACCTCGGAATTCTGCAGCCGGGAGAGTCATCGCCTGTGTTTGAGAATGAACCTCACAAATAACACAAGGTAATGTAGAACGCTGACGCTCCAGTTTCACTGTAAAACACCGTGTGTACCGGCATCTGTGTCGGCTGCGGCTACAAAGACGTGAGCAGGGAAACACGGTGTTTACTGTGTTCCAGACTAAGAGGAGGTGTGAACTGTGTTTGATATGCAACAAACAAAGACGACTTTACTTCACTCTGTGATGATTTAAAGGTGAGGGAACTAAATCGTCACGTGACGACGACCGGCAGAAAAAAATCTTTAATGTCGTTTTCTCTACTGCACTTTAGCAACACTGTTATAACCTCCAAGGTCAACGGACAACACGACTCAACCCAACGGTGCGAAAGCAGCTGCTGCGACCTTGTGTTTCTATAGAAAAACTACGACATTAAACCTTGATGAGCATGTATTTAAATCACAACTGCACCAAGGTCAACAAAGGTCTGGCAATTTTTTTATCCCATTCTGCCGTCACTGAATATGACGTATGAACATATGAACCCCCCCACACCCCTATGTCACAGGGTCCAACCTCGACCTCAGTGAAACAGGACCAAGACGTCATGTTTGGTGCAGGGTTTGAATCAAGGCCGTGTCGCGGCCACCAATTGTTTCCAACCCATACTGCTGCACATTACACAAACAAAGGGAGAAGATTTGGCCTTGTTATACATACAGGGAGTATAAAAATGCCACTGCCGCTGAAAATGGAGGCAGTTTCAATCAACGTGGGGGCGTAATGGGATGATGTGAAACTGAAATGAGTTTTGTGCAAGGAGGGAAATGTCCTCCCTGACAAAGCGGATTTGTGTTGCTATTGAGAAAACCGTGGTTGTGAGGCATATGGCTGAGATTTAAATGTAAAGGTGCAAGGCTACGAGCACAAAGCAGACCTCTGATGGTTGACTGTAACTGAATGGAATACGCAATGTAAAGGGGGGAAATAGGCCGAAGGAGAGAAGCATAAAAAAGATTACAAGCCGAAGCACTATACTTCACTTTTGTTGGCTCAGTGTGTGGAGGCTGAGCAGAGGGCAGGTTTAAGTCATCCCTCTTCAGCCACTAACTGCTATGTTAATAACATTAAAGCATGGACATAGACGGGGTCAAATGGTCACCGCTTTGGACAACTGAGACGAAGAAAAATAACCAACATTACTGCAGATGTTTCTCCCCTGAAGTGTCTGCTCAGCAGCCATCACAGTGAATCAGTTCCGGTCAACAGAAATGTAAAACTGGCAGAAACACTGACTACCAGCATCGCTAACACATCAAACAGTTCACTAAATGACACCCCACAGTTCACAGGATAGCTGCTGCTTACTTAGCCACCGCTGCATAGGCACATTATTTAGCACAAAAGAACAGTTGCCGTCTATAACTCCTACTCATGACCTTGACGCTGCTGGGAGACTCTCAAAGAAAATCTAACTGGATGGGAATTTCAAGGTCCAAGACATTATTAAAACCAGCCAACCCAAAACTAGGTTTTGAACTTTCATTCCGTAAAGATGATTCTGTTTAGTTACAGTTGGAACAGATTACTCTGAAGATGCTGGATGATACAAAGTGTACTTCTCACAGACAGTGGCCAAAGCAGGAAAGGACAACAAACATGGACAACATTATCAAAATGTGTGAAAAGAAGTATATATATATATATATATATATATATATATAAATCAAAACAGCTAAAACATCTCTACATCTGCTGTAAGCATTGCCCTTTTTCATCCCTTGTGGAGGACCAGCGTAGAAAAATAGCTCAATGACTCACCACCTCTAGTGGATGATGTCATAACGATAATGTATTTTTTCCTTAATTAAAGTAATTGCTTTGTAAACAAAAAAAAAGTCACAAAAGGCCGAACGGTTTATTGCAGTGCATTTGTTGCATGTACTGTGAACGGCCTCAGAACAGATAATGTATGTTTTGTTTGTGAATGTCTCTAAAAGACACTGATGCAGTGAGAAGAAAGATCATGAACAGAGAAAGAAGTCAATGAACGAAGTAAGATAATCTTATGAAGTAAAGACTTTGCTTTAGTTTTCTGTAGAGACATGCAATTAGAAATAGTAGAGCGTAGAAAATGGGCAATAGAATACACAACAGTGGCGCTCAGAATAACATAACCTGTACTATGCAATAGTACTGTATGTGCTAAAGTCAGATGCTGTCTAAGAGCAGTGTGGACAGTATACTAACAGAAACTGGTGCATGTGACTGTCTGTACAAACACAAGGGACGTAACAGCAGCATTCCTGATGTATATTTATGCTAATTTGTTCCTTCAACGTACTCTGAGACAGAAGGTACAACAGCCAACGGTCTTTGGTAATGTTTTTGTTTAAACAAAATTGCTCGCCACAAGCTAACCAATATGGTTGGCTAACATGTGTTAGCCACTGCCTATGTGATTTCATAACAGTGTGTGTTGAAGCACCTGCCAGCAGCTGCTTTATGTTTGTAGAACATCAAGAACGTCTTCGCAAAGCTGCCTGGGTTCAGACTCTGCTGCTCTGAAAAAAAAAATGTATCTGGTATAAACATTTCAACCCTAGTACACCGAGAAAAGGAGCTTGGCACTAATGACACTAATGGCCAGTACTCTGTGAAAGGCAGGGTTTATTGATTTGAGAGAGAAAAAAAATCTGTTGCCTGTATATATTGTGCAACAGAGACACACACATCCTACAAGCAGCCAGTTGCCCATGTCTGGCTTACAAGACACAATACAGACAAGTGAGCGGCTCCACCGAGACAACTGCCTTCACAAACATTGATTGGTGATTGTAAGCAACCTCCTTCATGTCTCAGCTGAGACAAAAGAGAAAACGCAGATCCATCAGGCATTAACAGGCCATTACACGTCACCCAATTCGCCAATGATGAGAAATCAAGTTCTATGGAAAAATCCATATGGCCAGCTTATAATTACATTTGAACAGTCCAGCGGGGAGAGAGATTGACTGATTGATTGCTCCACAAAAGAACAACTTCGAGCCGAGCAGTCATTTAAGTAAAGGATAATTTGTATGTCTGGTCGAGGAATCTTATAATGAGCTGTGGAACACAAACGACCACTGCAATTTCCTCAGGTCACATTCTAGACCAGCACAGAACACAGCCAGTGACGGTGTGACTGAGGTACAGTCGTAAAAATGTGGAATGAGAGGTCAGTGGTCTGCATGAACCTAGAGGTCAGCCTTGGTGAAAAGCTGTTGTTGCTGTTTGAACAAGTAACTACAGCTGACAGTTTGTGTGTACATTGTTTATGGCCCAGAGCAGCTAAGAAGACACGTTCACCTTTGTGTCAAAAATACTGCTCAGACAGAAGGTCTGTCATTGTCACTGAGACAAAGAGATTTTTTGTTTTGAATAATGAACTAGGATGGACAAATATAAATGAGTGCAAGCTGAGAATTTGCTGAAGAAAAACCAGTTCTAGTAGAATTTAGACAGAAAAGGACATCTAGACATTTCAAAAATAAAACATGACATGTTGGCCAACAGCAGGAGTTTCCCCACTGGCACAGGTTAGTTTTATAACAGAAAACTGTATTTCAACGTTTCTCCCACACAGTGTCAATCCTCTGAACTAGAGTAGGACGTTGAAGGGATTCAAACCTAAGACCTAGAGTAGGGCAGACCAGAATCCTTCAACAATTAAGTTGTTTGGACAACAACAGTGACAAATGTGAAAAAACCCTGACACCTATTGTCAAAGAAACATGGTCAAAAAATGACCTATCAGCAGGAGTGCTACATTTTATTACAAAAAATGTATATATTAAAAGAGATATAACTTTTGTATGTAAATGTATTTTTTTTTAGTATAGTACAAAAACACCACCTTCCCACAAAACCACTCCCCACCTCAGAATCAAGACGTGCAAAAGTTTTCAAAAATTCAGACTGACAAAGTTTGTGAAAAACACAACTTGTCACAAGGAAAAGTTCCCTACAATGATCCAGGATTTGAAAGTCTCTGACTGTCTCCTTCTCCCTGGAATTCTTGCCGTTGAAACTTTACCCTCCAGATTGCCCAGGGAGATAAAGACAACTGGAATAACAGGTTGTTTGGCCTCAGAGTAGGCCTAATGCGGCAGAGCGGCAGGGTGCCTCACCTTAGCAGCAGTAGCTAGGGGACAGTCTATGGCCCGTCTATTCAAAGTCCTCTGAATACTTAGGGGAGGGCTTGCACCAGACAGGGCAATTTGCCAGAGAGCCAGCCAATAGAGCTAAGCTGAGACGAGGTTAAACTATTGTTTTGGCTTAACAAGCAAGAGTGAGCAAGGACAAAAGAAAACGGGACAAAAGAATGGAAAGAAAATACCAAAACTATTGAAGTGTAACACATCAACTTTGTGTGTTACTTTTCTTGTAAGACAGTAGATGCAGTACATGAAAATCCCATGATGAATCCCAACACGCCGGGGACAAGGAGACAGATAAGTCAGAGTTTTCTATTTTAAAATTGAAATTCCCAATTTTAATAAACGTGGCAAAAAGCGTTATCTCTGTGGTAAAATTCACACTTACCTATGCATATCAATAAATCCTTTCTATTCCTTGTTATTGCGAGGCACTTATTCCAAAGAGATGGAGACAGAGAAAAGTATCCAAATCCTAGAAAAAAAATCCAACAGGATCCCAAAAAGATTATCCCTGAACCACGTACTATAAAAAAAAGCGTGAGAGAGAAAGTAGTCTCCAGCTGCAGCTCCTGGGTTATTCCATTGTAATAGACTGGGGAACTGTCTTTTGAATCCCCAGCAATAGATTTCCAGCTGTGACTATAGAGCTCAGGGATCGATCCTTCAGAGACCGTGCTTGTTCACACACTGAGCTGGTGTTCTGAGGCTGCCTGGGAGAAGCCAAACCCACCATGTGATGTCACTGGAGTCAAATTTCAGTGGGGAGAGGGAGGAGACAGCAGGGCCTTACCTTTTGAACCTTGACCAATGAACGACAATGCGGTGGTGCACCTGCATGTGGATAGAAAAGGAACACGTGACGTTGTGTCCCGCTGCACCTCGTGGTCTCTATTGTGGCTTATTTGTTGACCACACTGCAGTGCAGAACTGTGACAGAGGATAACCTCATATGACTAGTAACAACTACAAACCAGACAACAGACAGTCAGCTCGTCTACTTTTACTTTCAAATGGAACGTCTGCATGTGTTTTTAAATGAATTTGCCGTACCATTATCAGCAGGGCCACGGGTTAATAAATCTGACCTTGAAACATTCCGCTCCTCCCAGAGGACCGGGCTAATTTTACACATGACCACTAACATGTTTTTCCTCAAAATGACACGGTTTCAAAAATGAACGTCGCGACTCCTCAGAGGAGGGACGGACAACAAACATGGAAAAATTCCGGGGTTTATATCAGCGCCGTTTGAATATGCATAAACACACACACAAAGACGCTGCTTCTCACTCCCTGCGGTCAACTCCGCGAGCCATGGAGCTAATCATCCACAACAGATGTTCAGAAATGTTCAGTCGGATTTATGACGGCGCTCAGAGGAACAGCCAAGTCAGCCTCTGGTGCTGCTTTTTTTCTTCTTCTTCTAAGTTCTATAAGGACGCAAGGAGAGGATGTCAGCACAACCATTCTCTCTCTCTCCAAAAAAAAAAAAAAAAAGCCCCCTCACTCTCTGAGATACACCATCCGAGACGAAAGAGCCCAATAGATCACAGAGCCTGGGGACCTTGAGGAAAGGTGTGCTCAATTATCCCAGTAATACTGCGCGGACAGTAACTTAACTCTTCCTGCGATACTTTAACAAAGTCTGTCGCTCAACATATAAATACTGTGTCAGAAACGTCAGAGTCAATCTGACGTATTCAAACGAGGCCTCATTTATTATTGTATGTATGTATTTATGAATAAATGATTTATCAGAGCATGATTTTTTTTTTCTTACTTTTCTCACATGTTTTGCTTTGCACCGTTGTTAAATGTAGTCCAGGCTTGCACTCTGGTTAAGGACATGGAGGTCTATTATGTCTTACATGTACATTTTTCTTTGTTGTTAACAATGGGTGACATTGTACTGCAGGCTGTAGAGCAGTGATTGCAACTAAATAACTTTTTAGCAGCTGGGTCAGCGTCCCTTGTTCTGCGTAGGAAATAGGACACTGTCAACGTGGGTGTAACCAGCTCGTTTTGAAAGAGTAAATGTTCATGTTATGTGTGCGAGCCCTAATAGGTCAGTAAGAAAAAAAAAAACTCTTGTAATGTTAACTGTGTCAGTAGCACGTACTAAGAATTGCTCTGGTGCGTACGTGATGTAAAGCACACAAAAAACAGAGGGATTGGAGGAACGGTTCTATTAGAGATTAAAAGCCTGCCTCAAACAGGACCTTGAAACCTTAGCAGTTTTAGGACTTATCTTCAGCCCCACCCCCACCGGCTTGAAAAGAGTAGAGAACACCCCCTACCAAGTCAAAAGAATTTATAACACTGTGACAACTGCCCATCCCCCGTCCATTTCATTACACTTAGAAGGTTGACATCCTCTTTAATCCAGGGGAGGCGGTTTCCTTCAGACTTAAGCCAACGTGCTAACAATGTCTGGTTAACAGTGTCTGGGTTTGGACTGATTCATGTTGTTTTCCACACTCAGTGCTTTGACATGAACCCAAAACACAGGGTATTTAGCAGGTGGACACTTTGATCAGCCCAGACTCCACAGATCCATAGTCAGAATCCAATGGGAAACCGCACTGCTCTGGATGAATCATCGGCCCTGTACCTTATCAATATCACTGTCTGCACAATCTAACAAGTACCAAACTCTCAGAAAGTCTCCACAGCCAGGTAAGGTGAAATAACAGGATTTTGAGGCCCCTTTCAGTTTAGAGTTTAAAAGAATAAATAAAAATAGGCGGAAAAAAGTCGCTAGAAACAACAAACACAATATGAATGCAATAACTAAGCAAATATAAATGGGGTTTGCTAATAACATAGACCCAGATACCAAGTAGAAAAAAAATTAATAGTAATTAATAATTACAAATACTAACTTCATTTGTAATTATTAATTACTATTACAATTTTCGCAATAAAATGACAATATATTAATATTTAGGGGAGTAAATGAGCATTCAAATACAGACCGACATGCTTCACATCTCCATGAAGTGGCTTCACTGAAAAATCTGATTCTGGTGTGAAAAACGCTGACCTGTGCTGTAAACACTGAGCTGTGAAAGTCACTGCTGCTGCTGCTGCTGCTGCTGCTGCTGGGCTCTTAAGGTCTGCACTGTGTCATCATGTCCAAACCCACAGCTGGGCCTCACCTGGCGGCCTCACAACTCCCAGGCCACAATTTACGGAGGCTTAGCTACTGCTGTTTCCTGCTTGACAACCAGTCAGTCTCCAGACCGTTACGGTGGCTTGATTATGTCACATACATTTATCTTGTCATCATTTACGCAAGTGGATTAGTGGCACCTGTAGACATTCAACCATTGTCATCTGTGAAAAGTTAGAGGGAAAGAAGTCAGCGTGTAGGAACATATGTACGATAGGAGCTGATTGTATATAATTACTCGCTACTTGAGAGATCAAATTACCATCAATTAAACATAAAAACACAGCAACTGCACAACTGCACCACTGCAATTCCCCTAAGTAATGGGTCTTTACCGTGAAATGAAACGCCACGTAAAAAATAAGAGAGTAAATTATTATAATTATTTATCCTGATTTATCTTTATTTATTTAGTTGAAGGAATTATTGGACTTAGAACACATGTCACTCTACCACAGCGTCTAAACAGTAAAAACAATTAGGTCAAATTTTTTGTGCAACACACTTTCACTTCACATTCAGTGCAGGTCACGCTTTTGACCCTGAATTTTCTTAGTGACCTCTGCAGTTATGACCGTCTCCAGAGAGAAGGTGATGGGACGTGGCAACATAGGGTGTGAAAAAGACAGCAGAGTGGGACGGGGGCAGATAAGATTGGACCTGACCTTCACTGTGTGCTGGTGTGTGTACGTGCCGGGACAGATATGTGACTGTGTGCATTGAACATGTGTCCAGCAAGTGTGCATGCCGACACGACTTCATTGCCTACTTAGACAACAGGGGGGTGAGGTGGGGGGAGGACCAGGGTATATCCAACAACTAGGGCACGACTGGGAGCATGGATGGAGGACATACATATTTTTCACACACTCATTGAAAATCAAAAAACGAGTGCTCGCCATTACACTCTGCTGTCGACAACAAGCGGGGCGCGCTCTCTGAGGGGAATGGCAGAGCATGCTGCAGAATGCATGAGACAAATCATTTTTATCTAGAAGCCCGGCGGGTATTGACAAACCAGGGATGCATTTAGATAGCCCAATTAAAATGGTGAAATGAAGCAACGCTGAGGCTCTTTACAGCACCGTGGCCCCTCTCTACCCTCTGCTCCCCGGAGCCCCCCAGAGACCGACTTCTCCATACAGCACTCGTGCAGTGGAAGAGAGGTGACGACGGAAGGGAGGAAGCAGGTGGTTCGGCCGCGTCACCACAGTGTGACATTTACAATGTGGAGGGCGATTACGTTTATACGAGGAATTGTTCTACTGTGAAGATTAGAGTTGGTACTTTTTAATACAAAGATCCCCAGAGAGTTCAGTATTAAATTAGTATGAATAAAATACCAACAATATCCATTACTATTGAAAGGGAACCCAAAGAAAATACTGTAAGGAGAAATAGAGTTTTCCCACTGCTTTTGTTGACACCATTGGAAACAGACACATGTTTATCCGTGTTTTTCTTTTGTCTAATGGGATGAAAAAAAAAAAACAGCGAGAAAGAAAAACAAGAAAATTGGCCATGTACTTGTCAAGTGAGAAATCTGTAGCGAGACCAATTTCTGTTGCTTACCAAATGTGTTGTAGCAGTTTTCAGATCAAAACAGCTAACCTGAAACAGGCAGAAAAACAGATGTTTCTCAGATTGGGAAACAATCACTGGGGAAACCAAAACTACAGTACACTAAAAAGGTTGTTGTTTTTTTTTCTTTCTAGAAACTCTCTCTTCCAAACTGCAGGGCCAACACTCTGTCTCTGATGAGGCAGCTTTCCAGATCTTTCCCCTCATTTAATGTCCTCCTCACACAGAGGTCGGGCGCTAAAAAATTGGAAAATTGTAAAATAACGTGAATAAAATACCTCAGCAAACTGGCTGCTAAATGTTTAACCAATTACCACATCAACGTCAACTAAATATATAGTGCAGTTAATGTTATTTAATGTAGTAATTGTAAATAGTAAATCTTTGTACTGGACATTTTACTATGGTCAATAACTATTGTATTCACAACATAGGAAGAGGTATTAGTTCTTTAACATAGAGAGAAAAATCTTAGGAATTTACTGTACACACACACACACACACACACACAGAAATAAAAGACTAATCCATCACTCGTGCCATTTTGCCTTCACAGGGTCAAACTCTTCAACAATGTCCTGACTGATGGGGAAAGATAAGGGCCCTCTGTTGACAGAAACAGTGAGGTCAGGGGTAAACACTGATAATACTCCCAATTATATAGTTATACAAAACACATGGTACTACTAATTAAATCACATTTAGTACTGGGGAAATAGTAAGGTGGAGCTAAATAGTAGTCAGTAGTGTGTAGTGTTAGCTCCACTGTAGTCTGGCCACAGCGTCACAGGAAGTGTCAGTGCTCCTCTCCTCATTATCCATTCATAGCACAGCTTAACAAATGGACTTCAGGAGGAAGACTACAAAGCTACCCCTAGAATAATTAAGTCAATTAAATATTCAACATAAACTTCTTATAATAGCATCAGAGCCTCATAAATTTAAAGG